TTCAGCTTCGTACACGAGTGAAGAAATTGGAACTTCACACTTCACAGGTGAGTTTTTGGTGAAGCCGTCTGGTGGTGTGGCAATGGGGAAACAAACACGGCAATTCGAGTGACGGTGCAAAAGGATAACGATGATGAATGGTTTGTGTACGCTAATGGGAGAAAAATATACGAGACGGATGAAGAGGAAATGGCTCAGGACAGTAACGCTGATCAGTTTGGTTCACACAGGATCTCACACTTCTTCTTTGGTGCGGGCAATAAGGAAGATGAAGGGAGCAGCCCTGTGACGGTGGCTGATGTCCTTCTGTACAACCGCATACTGTATGATGATGACCTCGGAGACCTCAACGCCAGGACAGTCCCTATTCGACATCCGGCTGCCGAAGAACTGCACACTGCGGTGAAAGTCACAACGACGGAGGAAGAAAAGCAGAAGGTCGGACAGCTGGACGTTGCACAGCCGGCAGCTGCATTGCAGACGGCCACACAGCTGACGACTTCCTTGGCAGACGTTGAAGAGGCTCCAATTGCACAGCCGACTGACTCTCAGTCTGTCCGTGTTCTTGCGGGCAGTGAATCGAGTGCTGAGAATGTTACGGACGAATTGAGTCCACACACTGCCGCCAAAAGTGACACTTCCGTTCCAGAAACCAATCACTCAGCATCCGATGGCAGTATGAGCCTAGACGACCGCCTCGCCCTGATCACCGACGCGAAATTGATCCTGCATGATTTACGTGGTGACAGCACTGCGCGTGTGCGCGTGTCTTGTGTGTTGCTGCTTCTTCTGGGACTGTGTGCACTTGTGGCAGTCTTGTGAGCCGAAGAATGTGTCATCGCGACTCCTCACGGAGATTGTGTGGCGTATTCCCCGCGGGTTCTTTTTTTTTCCTTTTTTTTTTGTGTGTGCGTGTTTTTTTTGTAATACTCAGTAATTCTTTTTTTTTTTATTTTTTAATTTTTGGTTGCTGCACACTGTCATGAGTGACGTGTTCCCCCTCTTGTTTTGTTGTGTGTTGCCCACACGCGGTGCCGGCCCTGCGGCTGTGCGTCCCACGGACTGCACGAAGGGGGGATTGGAAGAAAAGGCCGGATGCCGCAATAAAAGTGAGGGATGTTGTGTGGGCTGGTGGAACAGTACAATTTCATTTTTTTCGTTTTACTTTCTTTTTTTCATTTTTTTTTTTTTCGTTTTGGTGCAGGTAATATTTATACAGAACACACGGTCGTCTTGTGCTGAACCGGCACATGAAGTAAAAGTCCTGCCGAATCAACACATTTTTTTTTAAATGTTTTTGGGAGTTTTTCTGAACTCCTACCCTTTTGTTTCTTTTTTCTTTCTTTTTTTTTAATCCCTGCGGACCTCTTTTTCTCTGTGCCATGTCCACTGCCACTTTGTGTCCTTGTGTCCCTTTTCTTGTCCCTCTGCTGACCGTGCTGTTGACATGCCCCTATTGCCTCTTTTTTTTCCCCCGCTAGAGGCACCGATATTCCGCGACGACGATCGTTTGTGTTCGCCTTTGCGATGTCAACAGATTGGCTGGACGCCGTGCCCCGGCCTGTTGAGTGCACTCGGAGGAGAGCGGATGGTGTGCGCCGTGCCTCACTGTGAGTGTATGGCGCCACTCGCCACAACCTGCTGTGAGGCG